GCTTTTTCTGTGAATGAGTATGAAATTTGAACGAGATGTAACTGTATGTCTAAGCTGAGAGAATCGATCCACTATTGATAGATCTTGGGTTTGGAGATTGGATTATTATACTAGAAAAACAAAAAGAGATTTCGAGACATATATGGTCTGTGCATGCTCGGAGAAGCATCTTAAGCATTGGAGGAATCAATAAGGAGGAAATAATTCGTTCTCTAGTTATTGTATTTTTTTGTCTATAGTCGTGCTTGTTTATAGACTTGAAAAAGATTAGTCATATTTGACGATGATATATCATATAAAATCGGGTTGTTCACACTCTCAGATGCTCTGATATGCATTTTTATTCCAATCCACTGTGAAGTCAATAAACATGTGTAACATTTGGTGTTCCTTTATTCCTATCTAAAAATCATATACCTCTGAGTTACTTATATCTTGTAGTTGCGTTTGATCTTTGGGTTTTGTTCTTGGTATTCTAAGGATTTTATAAATCCTTAATAAATGTTTGTAATTAAATTAATTCGCAGTGCTGATCTCACTATTTCTCCTAATTGATCAATCTTGCGTGGAAGGGATTAGTAGGTAGTAGATTAAAATGTAGTAGACTCATGCCGTTATCATGTCAGTCATTTTTTTTTTTTTTTTTCTCACTAAAGCCATGCATCATGATGCGAGTTTTTTTTGGCATCCTGGGTTTATGCGAGATCCAGTTGATGAATCGTTGGATGATTGTTTTGTTTGAATTGCACTGTGATATGTAACTAGAAAACTATATAATTTAAATATGTTGGAAGGGATTCAAGATTTTCACTCACTTAGTCTGAGTGGAGCTGCTGATGCTTTGAGTGCGTAATTTGTCCTCCGTGATCTTGTTGAAAATTGACGTCGGGAAGACATTATTGTAGAATATGAGGAGGGAAGTCAAGACTTACAGTCTCCTGAATCGATTTTTGATGTTGGCCTGCGAGGAAAAAATGAATTCGAAAATGTGTGTCTTATGGCCAGTATGTTCATTGCCTTTGTCGCCCTTGCATTGCAGGATGGCGCATCTCAATTATCTGTCCAGTGGAGAGTCGGGTTCGGCACATTTTGAATGACATGCGCAACAAATAAGAGGGCTGGTCACGGACGAAATGAAGGGGCAGATATAGGCAGAGTCAGGACTCTCGGCTTGCTCATAAGCGAGCTACTCGCATATGAGGAACGAAAGAATGGCCATAATGGTTCGTCACGAAGTCATATATTCCGACGAGTACGTATATAGATATTCGAGTCTGCTACATATGGCTGGTGTTGCTATGGAGCAATAGGGATCAATATCGCTCTGTATATGCAATTATTGACGAGGCTTCTTTTGAAATGGAAAAAATCAAGGGTGGCCATCATGGCAAGGTTCTCCTAGGATTTCCGGAGCGATCCGGAATCCACTCCTTATCATTGCGAGGGTCGTTGGGAACATGTATCATTGATGTGAGGCAGACTATGGCAGTCAGAAATAATCACTTATGCGCCAGTGGCCGCATGATTTCAGTTACTTCCCGACGTCCTTGACCGACTTCCATTGCGTGCATGTTGGACAAGCTGTTACATATTGGAAGGGGTGCGGAGCAAATTATTTCCTCTCTTCCGTCGATCTCTGTCTCTCTCTCTTCTGGCTCTCATCATTCGTCATTCTCCTTCTCTGGCTCCTAACTCATTACTCAATGAATGCAATTGTAAACAAACAGGATTGCGCCGAGAGGGAGACACCAACTCTGGGACTGTGCAGGATCTGCGTTGAGTGACTATTTCTCCTGCATCTAGTATGTCATCCCATAAGCCGCTCCAACCATATAGTCAAAGCTTTTAAATCGAAGAAGAAACAATTGACGCACAGTGAAGGCTTGTCTAGCCGGAGCATTGGATGGCCAGGTCTCCAGTATCCGAAACTAATAGCTGAGACAGCTTTAGTAATTGGTCATACATCTCGAATGCAAATAAGCTGCTATATGAGACACGACGGAAACTATGGTATTTCCTCAGAGTCTTGACTGATGCTTCAAATAGTTTGTCGATCTCGTAGGTGCCTATTGTCTGAGAGACTGACCGGTAAGAATGCATGAAGCGGCGTATGCAAGAGCATGTCTTGAGAATATTGGTACTTGCGCAGGAAGGAGCAGTGGTAGTATTAATGTTGGGCGAAGAATGATCTATATTCGTCCACCCAGCGCGAAATGACTGTCTCCTCTATGGAAGGCAGAGGTCGCATTTCCTCTAATAGATTCGAGTCGCAAGGTCTGCCCTCCTCGACAGCGAGTGGTGTACAATTGGCACACTTGGCCTCATGTCAAGGTGAGACAACATCCTGCAGTGAGTCGAACAATGTTTTTTCTGTCTCGTGAGTCGCCACTGTCAAGCAATGTGCTGATGATGTCGAAGGCAGTTTGTAATTGTCCGGCGAGTGGCCTATCAAGTAACGTTCGATCATCGTGAGACATGAGCTGCCAATCCATACAGACCATGGTCTCATGAAAGTTCGCAATCCAAGTACAGGTTTCCACTTCCATAGACAGAGGCACTAGTAGGCAGCTGTCCCAGATGAGACCCATATCGAGAGTGCCTACACATCTTTTAGCCAGTCAGCTCGTAATTTCCAATTAATATGGAATCTATTTTTCATTTAACCATTTTTCGTTTGGCGGCCAATGCACTCATAGTCGACCATGTCATCGATCCTGACGCGCAATTGGATTCAGTGCGAGGGTTCTATTGACGTGGAGGTCGTCCCATAATTGGGCAAGCGGCTATCTGGCCACTTAGCATCCAGGTTTGGGTGGGAAATTGTCTATTTTCCGGAGAGTGCGTATTAGACAAGTCACCCTAAGTATGCTCAAACGTTTCAGCACCGGGTAACTATGAAGCATGGGAATGAAAATCCACTGGTTGCGCCTTCTCACATTGTGGAGGCATATCGCATACATTAGCTATGGCCAGACATTTCGGTGTTGCGAGGTTCCTATGTACCTAAATGGCGTCAAATTGTTCCCACGCCATGCCTTTCAGACTCCGCGAAGAGATTCGCCTCCACTCCAGAAGAGCTGAACAGCCAATATGGAGGATGAGCACGTGGGACTGGAATTGGATGTCTGCGTCAATAGCAGATGGATAATATGACGGCGAAATGCTTACCTCCCAACACAAAGCTTAACAGGTTGACAAGACCATCGGGATTGAGGTGAGATAATTTTGACTCGCGTCTCATTAGTCGTTAGATTGACACATATGTCCAATATCTGAAAATTTGTTTTTTATGAGCAGACAGAAAAGAGAAAGATGAGAAAACTCAAGAATACCTGAGACATAGACATAAGCTATGTCATTGTGCAGAAAAACGAAGTAGAACACCATTTGTAAATGGGAACATAGTGAAATTCATTGTTTTTGGTATGTATTTCAAAGGCTGATTTTTGCTCCATAAATGAGTGTGGCACGTAGGACGGTCTAATTGCTGCTCGGGCAGCACCTAGTGCCAGAGCTTTCTCGAGGGCGTTAGAGACATATGCCACGAGACATGCCATGTGAGGCAGATACGGACATGCATCGTTGGGAATTGCTGGGATCCCCAAGGAGTGTGCGATGCTCCGAAGATCTCATATATTTGTACATTATCTATCTTGTCAATTTGGAGCATAACTATTTCCTCAGGGGTGTTGAAGCAGCGAACAGAATTTAATTTGACCGTCTTAAGGAACAACAACAATATGCCTTTAGTGTGTTGCAGGGATGCGCAAGGAGAATAACTGAAGGTCCATTTCTTGCCCTTCATAATCCAAGAAGTGTAATAAGCCGTACCGTGCCATAACAAACACGACCCTGATATGTGATAATGCGGAGATCGGGAGGTTTTAGCAAAAGGTGCTAGCAGAGCAGCTATTAGAGCAATTTTCTGTAACCTATTAAGGGGCGTGAATTGTTGAGGCAAGATAGGCACATGCCTATGCTCGAATCATATTGCATGAGCATTTGCGCCTATGATCGCGGCCTTCGCTCCCTGTGCGCGTTAAATTGCTATAGGACCGGAGAGCTTTATAGTAGGCTTATTCCCTAGTTAATGTATAGCATAATTTGATGGCACTATGGATGCTTCCACCTTATACTGAACATTTTGATGTATTTATAATATTTGTTTTTTATCTTAGACCTCCCGTCGCCGGAAAAACAACAACGAGAGTGCTCGGAACACCCCATGGAGGGGGTGTTCTCTCCGGTCTGTGGTTTCCGTCATGTTGCCTCTATCTCTTTGATCCTCCAAGGTCAGTGGACGTGGGAGGCCAGACGCACCTAAGGTTCACACGGCTCAAGCCGCTTTACGCTACGTTCACTATATGTAAGATGATTCGCGGGAGATCTGTGCAGATGCTTATTGGGCCACTTGAGGGCAAGATGAGACGCACCGGCGCAAGGGATCCCTGGAGGCTGGAGCAACCAATGTTATCGCTTCTTCTGTCCCGTCTTGTGAATTGCGCACCAGATGGACCGATGTCGTTGACGCATGTGCTATCTCCCGGACATAGGAACCCCATAGGTATTGATGGAAGCCATTATTTTGAAAAAGGCTGATGGCTTTGCCCGGTGTCTTCCCAGGAAAGTGAAACTAAATCCTTCAAGCAGAGAGTAGGTTTAAATTGAAATTCCAGGGTTTTGGATAGTAGAACATGTAATGAGACTACAGTACATAATACCCGAAAATCCGATCACAGAGGGCTCCGACAGAAGCATAGTTGGGGATGACTGGATAGGTGTGAATGATGCCCCAGCTCTAAAAGAGGGCAGACATGGAATGCAGAGGATGATGCAAACTGCCATGCAGCTCGCAGCGCATCCCGACCAATATGGTGTCGCAACAAGAGCCAGGGTTGTCTTGATCATAAGTGCTTGTGCTAAGAGCGAGCAGAGCATTCTCAGAGAATGAAGAAATATACACAAATCTACGCCGTTCCATTAACACAGTTGACTGGTGCTAGGTTTTCTGCTCCTTGCTCTCATCTGGAAGTTTGATTTCTCTCCTTTCATGGTTTTGGTTATCGCCATACTCAACGATGGAACAATCATGACTATTTCCAAGGATAGGGTGAAGCCATCTCCTCTTCCAGACTCATGGAAGCTAAAGGAGATCTTCGCAACCGGCGTAGTCCTGGGCACCTACATGGCTGTCATGACTGTTGTTTTCTTCTGGGCTGCTCATGGCTCTGACTTTTTCACAGTAAGAAAAATTCCTAAAATCCAACTAAATCAAAAGCTTTTTCTGGATCAATCTTATTGCAAATATACTTGCATTAAAAAATTTTGCAGGAACGATTTGGGGTAAGATCTATCAGGGGAAATTTTCCTGAGCTTACAGGAGCTATCTACCTTCAAGTGAGCATTATTAGTCAGGCACTCATCTTTGTTACTCGGTCCCGAAGCTGGTCTTATGTTGAACGCCCCGGTTTACTTCTCTTGGGAGCCTTTTTCATAGCACAGCTGGTAAGTTTCAAGACAAGTTTGCGGTTGAGCATCGTATCTAAGTTTTTTCATATTTTCAAGAACAACAAACCACTAATTTCCTCTTGCTGTTATATTTCATCCAGATTGCTACCATCATTGCTGTTTATGCAAACTGGGGCTTTGCAAGAATCCGTGGCATTGGATGGGGATGGGCAGGGGTTATCTGGCTCTACAGCATTGTCACTTACATACCTTTGGACATTCTTAAGTTCATCATTCGATACATATTGAGCGGCAAGGCCTGGGATAATGTACTTGAGAATAAGGTATGTTTGATCAAATCCGATGCTTAAGACAGTATGTTTTCATCCCCGTATCCTAAATGTTTCATTCTTCATACTGGTATCCAGACTGCTTTCACAACAAAGAAGGATTACGGAAAGGGAGACAGGGAAGCCCAATGGGCTACCGCTCAACGAACCCTCCACGGTCTGCAGCCTCCCGAGACAGCTGAGCTCTTCCATGACAAGAACTACAGAGAGTTGTCTGAAATCGCCGAACAGGCCAAGAAGCGGGCTGAAGTTGCTAGGTAATTATACAACTGGAAGTTGGAATTGCCCCTCTTTTTGTAACACTAACCGGAACATGTCAAAGGATCCTATGTTCCTAACCATTCTTGTGGTTGTTTGGTTTCCAGGTTGAGGGAGCTTAACACACTCAAGGGGCACGTCGAGTCGGTGGTGAAGCTCAAAGGACTGGACATCGACACCATTCAACAGCACTACACTGTTTGAGTGAGTGGCAAGAATTTTTGGGCAAAGCGAGTCTTGAGAGGGCAGAAGACAACTAGCGCATTGGTAGGACAATTTAGTGTTCATCCTTGAAAAACCAGCAGAAAAACAAGAAAAAAAATGTTGTTTGTCATTTGACTTTGTAGGAGGATGAAGGGGTTGGGAATAATCCGAGGGAGTTGTCTCAGACAACCTAAGGTTGGAATAAATTATATCAGGAGGTTGAATCTTGTATTCTCTATGGATTAAATAATTAGTTCATTTCAATGATAATTCGCTATTTTTTGCTTCTACCATTTCAATTTCAACTTCTATATTTGTACTCAGAATACAAGTAGAGAATTACAGCAACTCGAGGTCTCGAGCCCCTTTGAGCACCGCTCGAACCACTCTCAAGTACGAACGCTTGTGCCCCCTTTGAGTGCTTAAAATTCTAAAGGTCAAAAAACAGAGCTAGAATTCTTTAGCAGGTTTCGAATTTGGCTACGATTGAGTCTCGCAGCCAAATCGCTTCCCTCTAGGTTTCTGCTGAAGTACTCCAACTGAGCTTCTAGTTGTAGAAACATCTTTCTTCAAGTTGCAATAAACACAACTCCGAATCGTCAAGAAAACTTACATACGCATAAATATTTTCACGGTCTTATGAAATGTGTGTAAATAATTCATGTGTGCAGGTCATTGATGTTGTGGGAGTATTGTGGGAGCAAATGATAGAGGGGGAAAACTTGACTCTGAACAGGTATAATTTCAGGTTTTTGAAAACATGTAAATTCCTTTGATCAATCAGTTCTACAAGATCTGAACTAGTTCAACAGCAAGTTATTCTAAGACTACTAGATCTCTGTGGTTAACTGGACCATTACCGAAAGCTAGTCTGCTACATGTGAATCCATTGTCTCTAAAGTCTAAACTGTGTGCCAAGGGAAGAAGCCAAGGATAAAAACCTGTACCTGATCTAAACTGATGTTCCACAATCATTAACTTCACCGATCCTTCAAGTGATAACCAACGTTCTTCAAGTACCATAACGCTCCTTCAGCTGCGTGCTCTGCTGCTGCCTTCTTTTTTGAATGTGGAGAGCTAAAGCATTCCAAAAGGGTTTTTGATTCGTCGTCTATCTCAACAATAACCTTGAAGGCGAACCTGTTTAGAACAATGGATCAGTTAAACACCTTATACCCCTCTTGGATAACGCTAAGTAAAACTGCATTGTGCATGATTAGTGAAGATTGCAACGGGCCATTGTATAAAAGAAGTAAGAAAACTAGGAGTAAGATATCACATCGACTTATAGAATGTGGAATGTAGAAACTGTTTAGAAAACATTTCTTGACGAGGCAACTATGACTTGGGTTTGTAGAATGTGCTCAACTTACATTCTCATGTGGGGCGGTCCTTCCTCTTTCGAGCACTCGAACGTAGGGTTCTTCCATTTTCTTGCAACGCATATCTCGAACAACTGGGATTTTGCTGACAGCTTCTTACCAGTGCCTACAAAATTGATTAATCGGAGTTAACTCTTAAGATTTCATTAATTTAAGCTGATTCTGCCGATGTTCTTCTGGAAAGCAACTTTGAGCAGCACAAAAGTTTGACCATTGGAATACAAAAGTCTAACTATAAAGAGATTACATAATTTAGCTTCAAAGTTTTTGGATAAGTTACTTTTTATCTCTTGTTAAACAAAAGTTATGTTAAAGATGCAGAAAATTGAGTTCCAAAGTTCAAATCTTATACTCTTCCCGTAGTGCGAATTATAAAAGTTAATGTCGTCATATCGGTTGTATTCAAAACCACTACTGCAACTCTGCTAAAGCAGTAAGCCGCTTTTGTATCAAATTTAGTCTAATTTCCACAAAACTTTAAAATCCCTCATCCAAACGCACTGCAAATCTTCTTATTAGAAGAAAAATGCAGGGAAATCCTGCAATAAATATCAAATAAAACAGAGAGCAATGGATTTTTTTAACATTGGAAATATTTGTACCTTCATTTGTTGAATCACTGGCCCCAATCTCTCTGGTAGAGGAAACTTCACTGCGTTCTTGTGTAGAACCAAAAGAAATATTTTTACCCTTCAAATTCTCATCATGTGAGTGAGAAGTGTTGCTAGGATCTGATTTCTTAGCCGTCCCGCCATCTTCAACTCCTCCAAAGGAGCTTGCACTCGCACCTTTGAGTCCAGTCACGGCACTGGCTTTTACTCGATACCTTGACCTGAGAACCAACAAATTAAAGAAAACCCACTAATTAGAAAGAATATATAAAATAAATGAAAAGTGGGATTCCAGGATTAGAGGGTTTACATGGGAGATAAAATGATGAGGAACTTTTCTGGGTTTTCACCAAATTCTTCAACCAGGTGGGAGATAAGAACATTCTTATCAAAAGACAGTTTCTTTTTATATATTTGATTCTTTGGGAACCCATGTGTAAGATATTACCTGGATCATCCTTTCAAAGAGCTATCAATAAAATTTGAGAAATAAACATCGGCGTGCATAAGTCAAAAATGCGTAAAAGTTAATTTCTTAAATTTTTTGGAACAGCGCAACGGACCGTACATTGGAACTAGACAAGAATTATGAGTAATGCAAAATGGTGCACCACTCAAGCTTTTGGAATGTCGATTTTTTATAGAAACGATGTTTAGATGATGATTAAAATTTTAATATTTTTTTTATGGTACATTTGCGTTTAAATTACATTAAGGTTATTTTCAACGAAATATGTAAAATGCGTTGATAGGTGTATTTTGCATTTATAGTGTTGGCCAAAAACTTTTTTAATCGAGAGATGCAAAATATTCATATTGGCTAGAAAATGTAAATGAAAACCTAAACATGCATGTTTTTTTATTTACATTTTTCGGTGGCATGTTCTGCCAATCCAGGAGAGAAAGGAAAATAGGATCTCAAATTTACACCTCGTCTATTAGAGTAGAACTCCCATCGACATCTCCCAACCGCATTCATATCTATTTTTTAAAAGGAAAATTAATGAAAAGGAAAATTAATGAAAAGGGTTTGAAAACTTTGAGTTTTAATAATAAAGACAAAATAAATGGTAAAATAAATAGTACCAAGATTGACTTTTTAGAGTAAAATTGGATTTTTCGTTAAAGTGAACAGTTGATGCTTTTCGTTAGAGTTTCATTTTTTATAAAACGGGAATTCTCCATCCCACTTTTGCCGCGAAAGGTACCTCCAAATCCACACCCACGAACCCGCCTATCATAAAATTCATCATTCTATGTCTAAAGACTTATTGAACAAAAAAGAAAATACGAAAAAAAATGCAAGACCAATATATAGAACTCAAAGTCATAATGTTCTCCGGAAAAAGCAAAACATAAGCAAAAACTTAAAAAGAGCCCAAGTATTTTCTAAGATTGATCTGAGATCAGGATATCATCAATTAAATATTGGTACTGAGGATGTTCCGAATACTGCATTTAGAACACGATATGGTCATTATGAATTTCTTATCATGCCTTTCGATTTGACAAATGCCCCTGCAGAGTTCATGGATCTAATGAATAGGGTTTCAAAACTTATTTAGATAGATTTGTGATAGTCTTTATTGATGACATACCGGTGTACTCTAAAAATGAACAAAAGCATGTTCGACAGAGACTTGTGCTGGAAAAGGCTAACAGGAAGGAGACTCTATGCTAGGTTCCGTAAATGCCAATTCTGGCTGGATGACATTGGTTTTTTAGGTCATACATTTTGGCCGAAGGAATCTTTGTCGACCCGCAGAAGGTTTCTGCAATTGTTAACTGGGAACAACCCAATAATGTAACTGAAGCTAGATATAGACATAACCACTATTACTCCCAATTAGACAATCTTGTGTTCACACTCATGCACGTTTATTTGTTCACTCACTTGTGATTAACGTATTTTAACAATAATCAGAACTAATTTTCTTTTTATAATTAAATATCATCTCTACAAAAAGTCAATTAATTTCAAAATCTTTTAATCATATCGAATGTAATGGTTTTGGCAAAAATGTAACATCCTCATAAACAACAGTACATTTATTTCATACATAAAACTGAATAAACTATTTTCAACTTGATATATTTTTCGAGTGATAATCTTTAAATGATGACAATGAGAATGAAAGAAAACGTATAATATTTGTACAATGAACTTGCGTTAACCATGAATGTGGGTGTACAAGTAGATGCCCCCATATCGTGGACACAAGTATTACCATGCTATTCCAGAGACTTCTAAGAAATTAAATTACTACTACCAATAACCAATAGAAATTTCATATTGTGCAATGAGTAGGAACAAGAAAGTACCCTTCTACTCTATATAGTACACATCCAGATCAAGTTCAAGATGATTTAATTACCAATTAAAGTTTGTGCTAAATTAATAGGATTTGATGAAGTTTTTGTTTGCTTATTAAGTTAAGTAAGAACAAGATGTAAATAGCTAAATCCAGCAATTTCAAAGATATATACACAGCTAAATCAAAATCTATACTCAATGGTATTCAATTAGGTGATTCTCTTAACCCAACTGAAGAAAGAGCAGGGATCCCAACAATCAAAAGGGTGTTAATTAATTAATTATTTCATTCTTCATGGATACTCTCTAGACTTGGCTGCCAATGATCTAGGGATGACAATCTTTTAGGTGTTGAATCTTTGCCCCAATGCTTTGTAGAATTCCTGTTCCTCTTCCTTGTAAGCGTCTTTGTCTCAATCTCAGAAGATGAAATGCTGCTGCTTGATGATTCTGTTTCCTCTTTCGAATCGTGATGGCCGCCATTTTCTTTAATCTTTGTCCCCTTAAAAAAGCAAGCAAAGCAATTATCTTCAGAAAAACATCCTCCCTCCTTCACATTGTTTTCCTCATGGTTACAAACACAAGCATACGAAAACTTAGTAGATTTTTTATTCCTCGCGTAAAACCAATTACAATAATTAGAAAGAATGTCATCACGTTTCTCATCTTCTTTGCTTGGTGGGGGTGTCACATTTCTTTGAGTGTCATGAATTGAAGTGGGTGAATGCTTTATGGAGAGCCTTTGAAGCTTCCGAATCGTGCTTACGGGCACGACGTAGTACTTTTGCCCTAGACTGAGCATGGTATCCGGCTCCACAATCGCCCATGGCTGCTGGAAAATGTGAGGGTGCGCAACGCAACATCGCGGATTTCTTAGCATGATCTCCACTGCGAGAAGAGGACTATCGTGCAGCTCCACATGCCCTCCGGGGTGAACAATTTTGACAAGCATGTTCTTGGTGC